TTGAGAAATTGAGAAATTGAGAAATTGAGAAATTGAGAAATTGAGAAATTGAGAAATTGAGAAATTGAGAAATTGAGAAATTGAGAAATTGAGAAATTGAGAAATTGAGAAATTGAGAAATTGAGAAATTGAGAAATTGAGAAATTGAGAAATTGAGAAATTGAGAAATTGAGAAATTGAGAAATTGAGAAATTGAGATTGACAAATTGAAAAATTGAAAAATTGAAAAATTGAAAAATTGAAAGATCTAAGATGAATTCAATGACTTCTATTTTGAAGCATGTTGCTTGTTTGTTGCGTTCTATGGAAATTATGGGTGGAGTCATAAAGCATTCCGATCGAACGGCACTCACAGCGTATAATTTTACACGCGCGACACGTACGCGAATATAATCCTTATTTACAGTCGCATCGTGCCAGCATGTTGGAAATTTTAGCGAATCGACCGACGACGCGACAGTTCCTTGTACCCTTCGAATGACCAGTAATTCTTCGGGACAATGGCAGCGAACAACTCGGGACTGGTGTTATCTGTTAAAGCTCGTAAAACAGCGGAAACAAATCTTATAGGAGCTTGTTTACTTCCGCTTCCTCTTTAATCTGCTTTATACACCATCTTCGGATAAATTTCAAAATTGTCATCGCGTCTGTTATCGATTTTGCCTGGTTGCAAATGAACGCCAATTAATTACGAGTACATTTCACATTTACTAATTAATTATATAATTACTTTTGCATGAAACGATTAGGATTAACCCTTCGTCATTGCACTATAAATGTACATGAAATAAAATATGAAATTTTTATGTCTTGCCAAATGAAACACAAAATTGTGAGAACGAAGAAAAATATTTTTTTTTTATTCTGTCGTACTGTTTCATGAAAGGTAGGGAATTTATCGTTTCGTGAAACAGATTTTTTAAATAGAAAACATTTATTTATTGATATTTTTTGCGCATCATTATTTAAAAGAGCTCGGAGCTGTATTTTTTTGGTCAAGGTAACAGTATGTTTTCTGCTGCCGCAGTTCGGCTACAACAATGTGACTTGTTAAAGATTTATTCGTGCGTTTTTGAAAATTTATTTGTTCCATCACGGCACACGCTAGAAATATATCTCGAAAATGTGTGGAGACGTATTCCAACGATTGCAAATATAAAGGATATGATGAAATAGTGATAAATATATGTGTAAGAATTTTATAATAAATAATTTAGAGGAGTTTGAAATCTGCATTTATCATCAGAAACAGAGTGATATTTTTTGTAACATAAAAATGTTTAATTGCAGTGTGCTCTTAATCCCGTTCGACAATTTTCATTTGTGTAATGTCTGGTATTATTTGACGAATTAAAATGTATCTCTGGTAGATTATTTTAAAGCCCAAAGTGTTATAAAATTAATTTCATATTTTTAAAATTTGTATTATTATTTGTGTTTGCAATTTGCGTTTAGAGTGTGCATACATACAGTAAGTATCTTTGAACTTTGACACATTGACCGTTGCAGTAGAAACTGATGTTAAAGGTCAGACATGCTATAACACAGGTTATGGGAATAAGGGTAGTTTATCTTTTAATCTGTGAGTGTACATTATCTTATTATTAGCATCCTTCAAAAGTGTCTCTTGTATAGTTTACATATAAATTAATTCAATTTTTGCAACATCACATGTGACCACAGTGAAAACTGATGTGTGTAGTCAGACACACAATTCAGATAACTGCGAACAATTTTTTAATTTCATCTCTAAATCTGTCAGTGTATATCATTAATTGAATATTGATAACTCTGAAAAATGTTCTCATTTTCTTATAAATAATAAATTTTACTAAATCTTACGTCGGTCGTTAACGCATTCGAAGTTCACTTCGAATGCCTGTAATTTTAATCCAAAGCTTCAACTCCAATATAAACTGTTATCACAGAGCATCCGAGATGGCGATAGATTATCGAGGAATATCTCGTTATTTGCAGCGAAGTTGTTTGATCGCGGCTGATGAATGGGATCCGACTTGAGCCAGTAGAATAGTCGATTCATAGTCAGCCACACGGAATGCAGTCTCGTTCGCGGCAAGTAGAGCGAAACGGTTCATACCGACAACTCGGTCAGGACCTATTTGTCTTATCGTCGCGTCACAATAAAATATTCGCAACAAAACATTCGAATTAATTATCGAACGAGGTATGATAATATAAAACGTTCGTGACGTCGAGCAGACTCCTGTGCAATTTTAGCGGGACAGTGATTAACGAGCGTACAACTTTTCATTATCTCGTATCACGAAACATTCTTCAAACTGTAATTACGTTTGACGCGCTTATTACATCACGAGAACGATGTTCCCGCGAACTGAAGATTACGAGCACAGCGAAGTGAAACGTGTGAAAGAATCCACGGCACACTTTCGCGGTATCCGTCCGATTACGAAGGATACAAGATCGATTCGAAACTTATTCCCTGGCATACAAATGCTCGATATTTGTGCTTTGAATGTAAAACGGCAGCAAAGTTTCAAATATTTGAAGTTTACGTTTGATCGTACGTGTTTCGTGGCCTCGAAAAAAACTAGGAAATTTCTACACGTTCTTTCTTCGTATATTGCAGCATCGCATCGATGGATTAAATGTATGGTTGAAGATGTTCAGAGCGACTGTAAAATGCGATGGAAGCGGAGATGGTGAGCTATGAACGTGGAGTATTTGCTGGTAAACGATAAGAACCGTGTTGACAAGAGCGATGATCGTGATGTGAACGTGACCGAGTAAATCTAGGGATAGATGCAAGGGATAGGGTGAGAGCAAGACAGAGTGATCGAGGATGGAAATACACGGGGTGAGTTGGTTAAGGGAAACTGCACCAATAACTCTTACAATTTTTCAGGTACGACAAATTTCCTGTAGATCAGTCGAATATGTAGAAACATTTCTTGGGATTTGGAAACTTGTGGATTTAATCAAACATAATCAAAATCGCTTTGTACCTTTACATGCATACGTTATATACAAATTAACATAAATATATTATATAAATGTTCTCACGATTTTTTCCGATATTAACACAATATTTTCTAATAGTATCAATAATAAAATGAACGTCAAACGTATTTCTCCAAGTTCCTCAAACACTGTCCGTGCAAAGCTTAACGAACTCGCTGCAGTTCGTTACAGAGGTCTAGGTTCACCTTCCGTTAAGCTTTAATTAAACACATATTTTCTCCGAGTGGAGTTAAGGTCGTCGAAAACGTAGGCGCGTGCGAATTCTTTCCTTCGTTCGAATTAAGCTCGAAATAATTTCTCGCTGTGAAACAAAATTTTCTCGTGTGCGTATGTAGACGAATTCCGTAGGATTTTCGGGCTACTCAACGAAATATTCAGCCTGGGTATTCACGAGCCTTGCGTACGAATGTGTGTAACCGTGTATGCATATCATGGTAAATGCAGCTACTGCATACGCCAGAACAGAGCCCTTATGAAAACCATCCGTTCTTCTCTAAATATTTGGGCATTTTCATAAGGGAAATTTCTACTAAGCCGCCGCTATGACAAACGCTTTCTTTAGTAACCCACCGCTGCGTAGCTTTGTGCACTGGGTGTCTTAAATGTCTGACAATGATGGGACATCTTGTAAGTTATTTTGCGAGAGATTAGGGAAGTAACTGGGCTTCTATATTTTTAATGTAGACAATGAGATAAGGTAGATGTAACATAGTGAAAAGAGTAATAGTACGATGATAAAATAGAACATATAAGGTAAGAGATAATACCAATGAGTATGATGACAAAATAATAAGATGACAAGGTAACAATGAAATGATCAAGTAATAAAATATGAAGATAACAAGTTAGTGAGACATTGAGCTATTGAGAAAATAAAATAAATTACGAAGATAGTAGATAGTAAGATAATAAGATATCAAGATATTAAGCTAGTAAGACAATAATATAACAATAAAACAAAGAGAATAAAATAGTAAAATAACAAGACAGTAATATAACAATATAACGAAGTAATAAGATTATCTTATCTAACAGAGGTTTTCCTATCAAAAATCCTTTACGTATTATTAAGTAAAAATAGTTAAAGTCCATGATATATTATAAACCGACTAGTTACAGAATACTGGATTATTACCCCACTTTTTGGACACCCCGTAGACGTACGTGACTTGGTGAGAAGAGCAGTCGTGTAATACGCCTATAAAGTGCAAACACCATCACCCTGTTTCCGGCCAACGAGTGCACTGCGTCGAGATACGAGCAATTTACGGGACACGGTTATCGGACGCAGTTCGACTGACGAATTACGCGAATTCGACGAAAAAACGAACAAAAAAACGTTTCAACCCAGCGACGGGTAACGAACGGTAGCTTCCTTTTGCTCGGTACACACGTACAACTTGATGCAATGCAGTTATTGTAAAAACATTTTCGCGTCTGGTCGAGTCAGCGTGAAAGGTAAGTCGCATTTTTTCGTTGTTGGTAAAAAAAAAAGGAGAAAACGAAAGGTCGACTCGTTTCTTTTTTTCCGCGATTGTACCGGGTTCTGTGCCGAAACTGCTGGAAATTTAATTTGCACAAACTCGACAGGCTCTTTTTTCTTCAGGCACCTCGGGAGAAATTTCAAACGCTGTTCGCTTGAAACCGAAATTCGTGAAAAGCGAGCTGCTTCGACGGCTGCAAACGTTCTGGTAATGATCGTTATGGAAATTTACTTACAACGACATTAGAGTACGAGCATTTTTGTTGTCACGAACTTAGGTTATGTTGTGCAGTTATTGGTATTTACTTTTTTATTATATTTGATGGATATTGGAGTTCAAGCATTTTTACTGTCGTGAATTTAGGTTATGTTGAACGATTATTGGTATTTCATTTTTTATTGTGTTTGATGATTATTTATAATTATTAAGAATTGCTGTGGTTATAAGTTCTTTATTTTGTTGAACTAAATTCATTGAAATGGAATCGCTGTTAATAGTTTTAGTTTTGTTACTTACCAATTTTTATAACTCGTGGGGCGCCATGATTCTCGGGCACAGTCGCCAATAGTCCGATTATGGTGATCAAGATCATCCATCGTTGGTCCATGATGAACAAAGATAATCCTGAAGCAGATAATAAAAGAACTCGTATTACAATGATAGAAATATATAAAACTCGATTTCAGATACATAATAAACCATTCTAACCCTCCAATTTTAAAAACTTACAAACCTTCAAATTTTTTAACTTATTAGTATTCAGAAGATCAAATTAAAAAATTTTTAAGTGTACACATTCTTGAATTTACATACTTCCATATTTTCAAGCCCACGAACGTTCAAATTCATAAATTTGCAAATTTTGTGATATTTATTCATAAATTTACAAATTTTGAATACATCAACCCCTCAGGTTTCTAAATCTTTCTACAAGAAAATTCATCTCCAAAGAATGACTACTACAATTTGAAACTAAAGAATTTAAAATTAATTTGTGAGAATCAATGCTTTTATCGCCATTCGAGTCGTAACGTTCAGGTAAAATGATTCAGAACTCTCGAGGAAAAGAACGTACGATTTTATGCGACGGGGATTTTTCTGACGTTCAAATTTAAGAGACAGGGGACAAGTACTTGTCACGTTCGCTTTACGATCGCACTTGTGCGTCTGTGAGATTTTACTGGTATCAATCGGAGTGTAAAAGAACTCTTTGATCGTTGAAAATGGTCGAAAAGTATCTCGGGTAAATACGTGACCACACGTTGCCCTCGTTTGTCAGCTGTTTGCCTTCGACTTTGATATGTTTCTTACGAGAAATCATACGTTTTGATTTTCTTTGCTAACTTTTCTTTTATCGTTCAATATTTTCCTTCTTTTAAGGTAATGGGTCTGTTCGTATCGCAACAATGGTTATTCTTTTACTTTATTTTCTATGTTTTTTATTATTGTTTGGTGACATTGTAACGATGTTTAATATGGTTATAAAGAAAACATTTTACTATTATATTTTCAGCTATTTCGCTGTATTTTACAGCATACTTTTAATAATTATTCGAAAAGCTAGACAAAAATTATAATGTAAACCACTAACTTCCAAATGTAATCAAAGGGTATTACTTAGTGCAATAAAAGCTATTGATAACATTTATACAATATGAAGTTGAGGATTAATGTTTGATGCAGCTACGTAAACATGTCATCACAGCAAAATGATTATAATTACATTAATTGCAGTAAACAAGTTGTTTGTGAATTTCGGTTAGAATATTATACACCGAAGGTTAATGCTGCTTCAAAGTAATATTTACAGAATAATAATTGCAAAATATCTATATATAGAATGTTCAATGTTCATTTGCAAAAATAAGCGAAAAAAATTGGTAACTTAGCAACTTATGAATGTAAAAGGAATTGTTATATCAATGAATTAGAATTTTTTTCTGTTGAAAAGAGTGTAATACTCACGGAAGGTCTGATAGCTTTGTGATGATGATGTGAAAAAGTTAGAGATGTTCCACGTGACTTTAAATGAAACTAGCCATTCATATTTGTACTTGAACAAAGAACAGAAACACAGCGAGCACTCAACGTGGTTTTTAATTAACTAATGAAATTTACGGATAAAAGCTTCCGGGAAAAAGAGATCGTATTAGTCCCTGGAGAACACGCGTGGCGTTTGTGAAACGAGATACAGAGATTAATGACTCCATTTCAAAAAATAGTTTGATAAATCTTGGGACCATGATATAACGTCCTTAATAATTATAGTACTTGCTATTTCAAATATTTGCAGTTAATAATGATAATTTTAACGAATTTGCTACTTCAAATATTTTTAGCAGTATTAGCAACTTTAGAACTAAAAAATCTATCGAGATATTTAGCTCATAAATTAGGTAAAAATTGCAGCTTTCGAATAAGTTAAGTATCGAGAATTTCCGTCCGAAATCTAAAACAATTTCGGAAAATGTTCCTTCCGCTAAACTTCAAACTAAACAAATTGCACGAATTTTAGACTACACCGCATTCAAAGCGCGTTGGAAACAAACTTTCCTGCGAATGAAACGAGCGAGAAATGAAGGGCTGTTCGAAACTTCGATCGTTCCGAGTCTCAAACGTTAATGATGATCATATAACACGCAGATAATGTTAGGGCTTGCATTGTTAATTATCGGGAGTTCCTTAGAAACAGAAGTTAAATAAACCATACTTCTGAACCATGCTTCTCTTGTTTTTTCCTCGGTAAATTAGCTGTTTTATGCTTTGTTGTTACGAGATGTTCAAGAATTAATTTACTCGACTAATGGAAACATGATTATTTTATATTTCTCTTATTCAACTTCCTATAATGCTGGCGACTTCAATATACGTTTTATTGTGTCGTGGTAAAAAATTTATTTCGAACTAATAATTAAACTGCACTGATGACCAATTTCGAAATCTTTGTTTTTTTTAACAGGGACCTTATTAAAATTTAATAAATAAAAGTATGAATTAATAATTTGTTTGATTGCTTTTGGAGTAATTTATATTTATAGACAAATTTGTTTAAAAATAATTATTTTGTTTCTCTATAGAGTCGTTTATTAAAACTTATCAAATAAAAATTTGAATTAGTAATTCATTTGATTACTTTTGAACTAATATATTGATGATCAATTTTATGATCCTCAAAATATTTCCAAAGAATTATTTTGTTTCTATACAGTGTCACTTGTTAAAAGATAATATATAAAAATTTGAATCAATCATTTTGATTGCCTCCTAATTAGTTTATATTGACGACGAGTTTTATGATGTACAATTTAATTTTCTTTTACCGAAATATCTATGAAAAATTTCGAATTGAACTTCAGCCAAGTTTCGATGAACGAAGTGTGCGGCAAAAAGTTGGCCATTCGGGAATTACCTAGATCCTAAAAACACTAGAAAATTGATTTGAACCGAAGAAAGAAGGTCAAGATGTCGGAAGGCCGACAGCCATTTGAATGGGGTGCAATTTTTATCGGATACAGAAACAGCCCCCACCACGCAATGCTCTTTGGCTTCTTCAAAATCTGTGTCAACCTTCATTAAAGGCGTCGTTCTCACGAGGGGAAAGGGTGAAGAAGGGACCGGAAACCGTAATGATCCGAGCGACCGGTGAAAATTCATTCAATTGACTCTTTCATCCCCGAGTTTCTTCCTTCCTCGGGTCATTGCAACGCCAGCGGCCATATTAAGTGTGTCGATGGACTTTCGTATCTTATCGTAATTATCCTCATCGATATTCGATGAAGACAGCCAATCGCGTTCATCTGGAACGGATATGATCAGTGCTCGAAGACTAATGCGTGTTTTCGTTCGAAAATTCAAAGCTGCTGAAAAATTTGGAAAAGATATTCGAGTGGATATTCAAATTATAGGGGAAACTGGAAGCTTATTCAAATTTTAGGGGGAAAACTGCAAGCGTTTATACTCCATTTTTTTTTCTTGATACAGTGCAGTGAAAATCATTTTATTCTCCCTTTGAGGGTTGAAAGGATTCAGTAAACCTCTTCAATCCTAATGTACCCTTAAATCTTAAAAGAATTTTTGCTTCAGATCTTATAACAACCTATATGCGAATCAGAGTATTAAACAAATTAAAGTATCACAAATTCACATGATAATTGTTTTTATCCCTCTTTCATAATACCCCAGCTAATTAATTACAATTATTACAATAATGAAAGAATATGAGGATAAGTGTCCATTTCGTGCATAATTCTTTTAGTTCGTATTTTTCATTCTTCGAATTTAAATTATGCTAAACGTTATTAATTTAGTTACGATTTTCCAGGAACGAGGCAATAACGTTGTCAGATTATACTGCAAGTCAAATTTGTCGGATTTGGGGCAAATAAACGGTATTCATTTCGATATATTTGTTGAAATATGCGGTAATTTCATTGGCAATAATTAATTCTGGAAACTGTTCACAATGACTCAGTAATACGTTTGAAAAATACTTTTTGTGTTATATAATCATAAATTTGCATGAAATCAATCGTAATCACGAATTCAATGGATTAGAGCTTAGCGAATTATAAATGCTTAATCTGATGCTGAGAATCTGAACCGCGCGTGTGTATTTATGTGACGCTGATGGCGTAATCAATATTTGCACAAAATGGGATATATTGTATTTGCATAATATTTTTAAATAGATTTTGACACATGTTGTATTCTTATTTTGAATGTGTATTTTGTTGACTATGTGTGTATTCTTGTATGTTGTTCAATAATAAATTAATGTCTCTGTGTTATATTCAATGTTTGATTAAGATTTTTTATGAGACGAAGAAATAATGATTTTGGTATTATTTTTGCATCTACAAACACTTGATACAAAATACTTAATATACAACCTATTATGTATGTCATATGTATAACATACTACATATGTGTACATATGTGTACATACATATTATACTATACATTATACATATAACTCAATATATGTATATCACTATAATAAAATTAACTACAGTCGACACAATGTAACCTTTAATTTATGTTTGACTCACTAGCATAAATAATAAAATTTAAAAAATTCAAGATACTTCACTGAAATTTAGAGAACATATACAAAAAAAAAAATAAATCTAAGTATGTATTTTATGTGAAAACAATCTAAGGATCCTAAAATTCACCAAACATATAATAATTTCTTTGCAAATTTTCAAAGTCAAAATGTTTTTTTTTTCGATTTCGTAAGAGCTTGTTCTAAAGAATCCATGAAAGTTTAAATTGGTAGTCAATGATTGCTTTCGCGTTGTGCTCATAACTTGTTCTTTATACTTCGCCGACATGTTCGAGAGGTTGAACTTAATTGAGACGTTATTGCCGGAAATGTCTATACGCTTCTTCCCCCTTGTTAAAGTTTGAACGTTCGCGGAACGATTTCCAGATTCAATCTCGTTTACTTGAACCTCCGCCACCGTTTAATTTTTTCTTCGACTACTACTATTTCTAAGTTTACCAGACTCAATTAATTAAAACTTTCGATCGCCGAGGCGAAAATGACTCTGTCGAGTACATTGTGATAACTGATAAGGATATTATCGTATCATTTTGCAAGTTTCACACGAAATTCGGACTTT